AAATAAGGCTGCAGAACTGGCGAATCCGAGGGACAGAACAACGTCTCTCCCGCTGCCTAACAAAGAAAGCTTGTGAAGTCAAAACGTAATATGTCCAAGTATAAGAGTTTATTGAAAATACAAACAAACATGTTCCTTCTGGTCTTCTTCTCGTTACAGGAGACAAAAAATGACAAAAAAGGATTACCTTGGGTGATCGAGTTGAGCCTTAACACATCTTCAGGTCGCACAACTTCAGCTGCTCGTAGATCAGCTTCGCTAGTTAGATCGGGCTCCTGCCGAACTTCTGATAGCATACCCGCTCTGGAATATAAGCAAAGTTCTTAGCTCATTAGACAGCACACAAACAGATTTCGTACTCGAATAAATCGATTCCACAATTGTGTATGCAATATGCGATTCCCCAAGACACAAGATCATCGCAAACGTGGGTCTATCTTACATGGCGAAAAGGTAAGAAGTTAAACACAGGAGCAACCGAAATATTTTCGATGACACAAGAGGCGGAAAGCGCTTTCTTTCTTGGGATTGAGATTCACAGTCACCGCTAATTTTCCTGGACAATTGCAGAATGCAAAAACATATAGCGAATCGCTAATTTCCTCCTCTCGACGAAGTGCTTTCTGACGGAGCGAAAGCAAGCAATGGTCTTAATTTTCGTATCGACTGCGTAAGTAATCCTCAATTCAACGTGATGTGCAATACGGAACTGATTCTGAACGCTATGTCACTCTGGAACGATACAGTGAAGAAAATAAAGGAACTACGTGAAATTGTGTGGGTACTTACGGTGACAAAATCTCCCTCTGAGCAGTATGGGAATCCTCACACTTTACACCACACCGGAGAAATGCGATAAAAACAATGTTTTGACCCTTTTTGGCTTACGGAAAACGGCATAGTCAGCAAAACTAAGAATCGTTTCACCTCATGACCACTGAAAACAGATTTAAATAAGAATGAATGGATTGTAATTCTCGGCAAATGCGGGCATTTGAAATGAACGTTTATTTACTATTTTACTCAATACCTTGTGCATCGCTTGGGGTTCAAATCAGTCATCGATTCTGCGAGATGAAATGAGGTACAAGGGGGAAAACGACCAGCTGTAAATACTAACCGAGCAACAGTACGTGAGGATCCAAGAGAAAGGAAACTGAGAGTGAATAATGGTACGAATTTTAGGGTTTCTTCGATCGTGAGCGCTACCTCGCCTGTTTAGAAGAACCAGTCAAAGAACGTATGAAGAAGTGATTTTCGAAGCGTGTCCAACAGGCAGAAGAGCTAGAAGTTTGCATTTGGACCTGCATCACTCAGATGAGAATTCAGGGCACTGAACATGTTGATTTTACTACTTTATGGTTTTACTTTATTATGTGTGTGCCTGATGGCAAGTTCTTGCTAATGCTGCCTTGAGCCTAGAGCTTTTTAAGTTGAAATAGACGCTGAAGCGATGAGGGAACAATGATTGCGGTAGCCTGCAGCGAAAACAACTGGTGATGTCTAATAAAGGACCATGGAAGGCTCGCCTCCAGCATGCAGTACTACAGTAGTACTATTGATTACTCATACGAACACTTCGAGGCGGAGGTAGTGTAGTGCCAGACGGCGCAATAACACATTAGCATGGTCTGGAGTTCGGATCCAGGGCTGACACCCACAGGTTAATCAAGGCTTCCATTACTCTGAGGTCAGCTAATAATCACCACACTGGCCTGGGAGGATAAACTTACCTGTAAGTTGTCTAACCAACGTAAACCCGCACAGGCCAACATATGCACTCCAACACCATTAGAATGCTCAGTGCAAATCGAATTCGGGTATTGCATCCGAAAAGGCCTTAGAAATTGTAAACATTTTAGTCGTGACTGCAACGACACGGTTCTGGCCTTTAACATACTGGAACAGTTCAGAGAAGACGATAAATATAGACAAGGAGCCTTCTGAATAAAATCGTTAGCAGCCGCTCTCCCATTTGGAAATAATGATGATATTAGGGCATACAACAACATATTTAATGTTGACAATTTCCCTTCTCACCATGGACCATTAGCATGGCTAAATCAGCCATGCTAATGGTCCATGGTGAGTAAAGAAAGTTGAAAAAGAAAGTTAAAAAAGACAAATATTGAACCAATAAAGTGAAATATGTTTGCATACGATTTAAATGTGGAAGGGAGATTCAGTACGAGACTGGCTTCCAATCATACTGGCAGCTGGTTGGAAAGCAAAGCAACGGGCGAGCCACAATTATAATTAAGAACTGCCAAGGCTATGTGAACATGCTGATACCCATATGCATGAGTTTCAATTATAGGAAAGGTTTCGCAACACGGAGAATTAGGCAGATTCACAGTCTTTTTACTTTCGAATTCACGAATTGTTAGTGATAACATATTCGACGGGATTAGGACTATGAACCAAAACACGACTTCCATGGGACCTACGACTTCACTATACAGCCGAAAGCAGAGAGTAGCCTTACTAGAAATGCCTGTGTTATGAAGCTCTCACGAACAAATCCTCCAGGAAATAAAAAAAGTTTCGAGAAAACATCGATACCTTTTTGGATTGCCACAACAGCAGAAGACGAAATATCATTTACTTGGTTCCTCACCCAGTTGGAAATACCAACAACAGATAGAAGTTGTGAATATGCAAGTTAAAGAGGTAGTAGCACCCGGTGCTAAGTTATCACAATAGCAAAAGCCTTTGTATAAAATTGCTCGCCTTGATCAAGCTACTTTCCTTCGGAATACTAGAGCTGCAAACTCAATTTTCTCCCTATGAAAGCTCGAGTGCTTATAGCAATAAATTGTAGCGTGACGGACGTGGTGCAATAGGAACGAAATTGTCACGTGGTGGCAGGAGAGGCGCCGCGCGCGAAGAAGTGTAGCAGAATGTAGCAGCAAGTAAGAAATATAGGAGCAAAGAAACTAATAATAGTAGAATCATGAGTTATAATAAATAAGGATCCCATATCGACTGAGTTGTAGGAAGGACGCCAGAGCTGTAATAACGGCGAAACGAAGACCGCGACAGCCGCGTGCGGCGAATCGATTACAGAAAACCGTTCCTACTGCCCGTCTGTCGTAGCGTGACCACCTGCGACTTACACCACCCATTTCCAAGGTCCGTTGCTCACGTCTATCCAATCTTTTCTTTCCTGAGCTTGTACTTTTCTAGATTATCAAAAATAATGAACAAAAAAACTACGCCTTACATACTTCGTGGACTCCAATTTTTACTTCCTCCGAATGTTCGTGAAACTTATTATTTGTGCAATAAAAATACCTACGAAGTTACGAATCAGACCTTTCATCAACTCCAAATCGAAGCAACTTGCATATATATTCACTTAGCAACAGCCAAACACTAATGCGCGTTGCCACTCTAATTATGAAAGCTCTTCGCACCTGCTCATACGAGCGTTCCGCCCTTCCTGAACTTTTGACATCATCCAGACCACCACCTTCAATCAATTCGAAGGGCCTTCTATTCATTTACACACCGGTAGCAGTCCGCAGTTTCATACTAATGGCAACTAAACTCTACGCATACTTTTATTCAATTTTGAAGACTGATGGGGGTGATTCGCATAAGCATGATTTCTTATGCACAGTTTCGCGTCCCAGAAACTTATCACAACGTTTTTCCCCATTAGTCATTCGGTTTGTTTTTCATGAAAGACAAACTACATGATACACATAAGTACTATTACATATACTTTATTGTAAATTTGATCAATGACTGTGCAAGAAAAAATCGTCACATTGTTTCTAGACCTTATACTCCCGCACTTTAAAGTGTAACCATAAAGATTCCAGTAGAACTGCTCAACCCACCCCATATTTTCACCTCGAAATGCGATTCTATGATTCACGAAGAGTTGCGTGGTTGATCACTATACCGTATTCCTTCGAAGTTTGAAAAGCGAACCCAGAATAGCCGATTTGATGAGACCTAAGAATTTTTTCCTCTGCTATAACCCTAATTTACGTTTTTAGTGCTAGCTTTGCGGCTGCAGAGCAAATCAGTGAACAGGAATTTCAGGGTTAGGTGAAACTGAATTGGGAAGTTAGGCTGATCAACTAAAGCAGGTCCCCAAACAAATGAAATAATTACCCTGCTCAGTCTTAGAAACTGAATAAAAGCAAGGGTAGACTTACGGTAGTTTCAGTTAGTACGCAGTTGCAGACTACCACAGGGTGTGAAATGCACAGCACCGAATCGAGGCTGTGACATCGAATAGAAAAAGAACAGTGTAACTCGAGTCAGGCTGCTGTTGAAATACTGCTTATCGCAGCTGTTTTCCTAGTGGACCTACCCTTCAAGCAAAAAGCTCCAAAACTCGAAAACTCGCCAAAGTAATGACTGGATGAAATAGCGGGGTGAGAACTTCAGAACCGGCCATGATACCGTTAATACGCACCTCAACCTGCAATACCAGTCAGTGCTCTAAATAACCGACAATCTTCTGTAGGAAGCTTTAGCTAGCACATAAATGCTAATGTTTCAAAATTTAAGTGGAACCCATTCGATATACGCATGTTTCATGTGATTGGACAATCTTTTTGCGAAAAACTCTTTTCCTGGGACTTTAAAATTTTGCATCACAACCACATTTAATCACGGGAAGAATGGTTCGATGAGATCTTCTTCTTTACAGATTATTATGAAAACCTTTTCCTTCCACCTACCTAGTAGAAAATTGAAAAGAAATATCAAGGGCTAAAAGGGTCAAAAAGTCTCACAAAGAAAAAGAAACTACGGAGAACTAACAAGTTGTCATCGCTCCTAGAGTTGTAAGCAGAAAACGAGCAAGACGCGATAACAAGGACGGGTAAGCTTTTACAAAGTGCGTTCACTCAACTCACATGAAAAACGGGAACGAAGTCTCTGCAGCGAAGGTAATATAACCCCACACAAGAAACGGTGTGAAAATCATCTACCGCTAGGCAATTGTCCGCGTCCTGCCGCCAGAGGAGTTAGATAGGGGTTGTTTGCTTCAGTACCCAGGAAACCCAGCCTGCGGCACCATGTCAAGATGTACATTTTCAGAAGAGAACAGAACACCTGGATGAGAAAAAAGAAAAACTATTTACAAAGTGAAACTAAAGTTGGCAATTTGGCAGAAGTTGATAAGTTAATTTATAAAAAAGATATGTGGGCATAGTCAATCTGAATTTAAAATCCCCTGAAACGCGTTCGCAAATAACGGAACATTTCTCAAACAATACAACGAATACAACATTTCTAAAATAATTCTCAACCGACTACGACGACGTTATTGGTTCAAAAGGAATTCATAAGGAAGCGTTATCCCACACGTCATTCCTATGAGACCGCCCTCGCAGACTTTAATGATGAACATCGCATTGACCTCAAATCGATTCTGCCCGGCAAGTAAACCAGTTTTGTATCGTCGGATTTAAAAATCACATAACAATTACTCAATTATTGCACCGTTTTCGTATGTAAAACAATGTACTCGAGGCCCTAGCCTTACGCTTGATTATGGTCGTTTTGTTGGGCAATAAATAATCCTTCTGAAACACGGGTCAACATTAAAGCCAAGGATGAAACAGCATTTTCAAATTGCTCTCTCAATTCAGTTCTATTCAGGTTCACTACTGACATCCACAGTACCGAACCAATCAAGGATCTAGAAAAAGAAAACCGGTCCAGGCGATATCAGATAATACATAAACTAGCAGAAAGTCGGAAACTCACGACTACTCTGCTTTCAATGTCGAGACCCTGGCTTACGCCCGGTTGTGATCGAACATATTCAGGTGACGATAACACGCGCCTGTATCTGAGCTAGCGCCCTTTCATTATGTCGCATGTGGTATATATCCCTGAAGCGCTTCTTCCTTTGAAAGTCTCTCTACCTTGAAGATGGACAGAATAGAGTCGTAGAGACCACGCAACGCGACAGCTGAAGGCTATTGATTTACCAACCAAAGGAACTTTGAGTTCACACTAGTTGAAATCTAATCCTCGGAACGTTCATCCTCTCCGTTGCACACAGCGTTTAGAATTCAACCTATTGCTTGGAAACCGATCCCCACTTCCCCCTGAACTTTCGTTTCTGTGAAAGCCAACTTTAGCCTATATCGGCGTGAGTAAGCATTCTCCTCCCTTGTAGGGACTAGAGACCTAGCATAAATAGAAATGATGGTATAGAAAAATACCGATATGTGCGGAATCTCGACCGCATTGAAAAAAAAACAAGGAAGATGAGAAAACGTTTTAATGTTAACCACGTCTTTGAAATGAAGAACACAAAGCAACAAATAAACTTCTGTGACAATTCCAATGACACTTCTGAGATACATATATGCACAAAATACATGACCCGATCGGCAAAGTATAAACACCTGATGACTGAAAGCGATATGATTACAAGGAGGCAAGGAATGCCGTGAATTTCCAAAATGATGCCATACATTTCAGTTTGAAAAAACTGTTACCTACAAATATTGCAAACCGCTTTACCATACTGGATGGATGCACACGATAAAGCTTGAACTGCTGGGGCTTCTTCATTTGTTGTCTTCAACAGCTGAATCAATTTTCACGCTAGCCTTTGCTCTCGGTCAGCCAACAGCGAAATTTGTTTCAGCGTCGTGACGCTACGGCGCACGGTTTCACATCCGAAAATCAGGACTACGAGGCGTACAACGGACGCGGCGATGTATTCTCAACCCTATCTGTGCCTCACACACGCATCACCCACCACCTTAGAAAATGAAAACTGTTTGTAAACGAACTACGAAAATAACTAAACTGGGATTGTAACGCTAAGAATATTACGTTCCACACAACCGAAAATACAAAAAAAACATTTAAAACTTTACAATATATACAAGTAAAGGAAGGAAGACAAATAAAGATAAATACGTACAGCAATCGCATCACGGAAAAGAAGTTTTTCTTTCAACAATAGCCAATTCATCCTGAACACGGGTATAGTGACTTGTTGATGTTTATTGTTTAGCTATTCTATGAGGAGCAATATTCAGTTCACAAACACCAGATTTTAGTAGAGACATGGCGTGGATTTTCAAAATTATAGGTATACCTTCTCCATAAAAGCATACGCTAGACGTACAGTTCTTGTTTAATCATCTGTTACTGGATCGATGGAAGCAAAAGTATAGTGGATGGGCGTTCCATCTCTATGGATATCTTGGTCATTACTCGTCAAATCGTAAGCGTTCTTCCTTCAAACAAAAGCTCCGCCGAATAAATACCCTCAAGTTCATGCTATCGAGCCGATAATGCTTTTTAAGCACCAAGCGCAGGGGCTAAGGGATTCGGCTCTCCAAGAACGGGTACATCACCCTGAAATGCTCCGCTCCATCACAACATTACATCAAGTCTTTGACTTCACTGCGAACTTTTTTGGCTGACGTGTTCGCTGCATGATGAAGCGCTGTTTTTCAATTGCCGGTTCCACATGGGAAACGCCATCTGTGCCGTCAAGAAGAGCCCTTAGCAGAGAGCCACGTCCTGCGTCTAACATTTTGATTGTCGGTGTGATGTCTATGGATGGTATTTGATGATTTGATTCGTTTCTTTTCTTCATGACTTCTTGGCAACATGGATCCAAGGATAGCGGAGAAGATGGTGTGTCAGCCATTAATGGCGTAGGTGCAGCATTTTCTGTGCGATTCGGAATAACAATGGGAGAATGGCACAGATCTTCATCAGTCGAAAACGATCGGCAATCCAACGAACAATTACCTTCATCTAGACCGAAATCGACATGAACAAAGTGAGACCCTTGCTGTTCATCCGTCCTGTACGGCAACATGATACTATATACGCGATCGTGCGAGTATAATTGTGAACCACAACTCATTCTATTATCCAATCTTGGAAGGATTGCTGCGCAGAAAGGGGATGAGTAGTTAGGCTTCTTAGATGCTTGAGAAGGAGTAGACGAAAAAGCTTCACTGACGGTTCTGGGTACTTCCGCCAGTCCGCTGACTTCCAAGCGATTCGAGACTGTGTTGCTCGATCGTCTAGTTCGCCGAGTTTCCGGAACGATGACTGAACCGTCGAAACACTTCGGGAATCGTCTCATTTGCTCGCCATCAGACTCTGCCTCCTTCTTCAGATACTCGGAGTTACTTCTGAAACAAGTAATCACTGACGTTGTGTATCGCATCGGAACAACAAAGCAAAGGAGAAAGCTTTAACAAATTCTATCCCACTTAAAAATTGATTTGTAAACACACAAAGAAGAGATCGAGCAGGCTAGTCTAGGTGTTAAGAACTCCCTTGTTTTACAAGAGAAGATACATCATTAGTGACTACTGTCGAGACTAACAATTAGTTTTTGCCCATTGAAGCTCAGATAGGCAAAGTTTTCAGAAGAGCGAGGTTTGGCTATCTTCATTAGAAGGGTTCCTGTTTCCTGGACGGAGATGCCTCAGTTTTCCACTCTGTCGTCCGAAATAATTTTCGCCCTCGACTAAAGCCCAATGCCCTAAAGAGCCAGTGCGAAATACAAATTGAATGAATTTTCGCAATTTCACGTTAAACAATCCTAGGATTTTTTTATGGAATCCCGACTCCTGCTTTAGCTCAGGCTACCAGCAGAACTCACCAGGTGTCTACCTGATCTGCGATGCCCGCCTTTTGTTTTGACTCTTAAAACTTACTAATATCCAAAAAAAAACTCTTTAAGTTTTTCTAATGCCATTATTATCAAGATGTCCTGGAGTGTCGTTTAAAGACCTCCTCCACCTCAGAGACCGCTAAGAAAAAGCTGCTCATCGACCTCATGCAAAAAATGATCACGTCCGCACTCACTCTTAGCACATCTACCCGCACTCACACTTCTACCGGATGTCAAGTGAGGTCGAACACGGACACGGATCGCGATGGCCGCATGTATTTCAAGCGAAATAGGAACACCCTCCTGCTATACTTCGAAGAACTGGACGAGAAAATTGGAACTCGTTTTCTTACCTTCGCTATCGATGCTGCAAATCATATTGGTTTCACTTATAATGCTCCTTTCAGGAAGTAAGAGCAGCTCAATGCTAGGCGATCTATGCTCCTAAGACGCAGTTCGGAGCCAAGACCAGCCTCCCACGTCGTCGTTTAGTGTACTTCTTGTTAAGGATCTAGCCCAGCAAGAGCATCGACAACTTCGTCAACTTGAAAGACATCAATCACGAAACTCTGAAATTCCTTTCTTTGGTGTCCGCCTTCCGAACCTTGCAACCAGCCGTGTTCAGTTCCTCTGCAAACTAGAGAAAGAGGAGATGATCTGACGATTTAGATAAGGATATCGCCTTGGTGATCGAACAAAGATTTTCAAAAATCGTCGAAGCCGTTAAAGGCACAATTCACGATTAAACTCTTTCCAAGGATTCTAACTAAGATGAATCTTGGCTCCAAGTGTGCCATGTGTGGTGCTGCTGTCAAACAAAGAACGTTTGAGATAGGCAGTAGCACGGGCTCAAAGGTTGTATGTTACACCTAGAGGTGGTGTATTTCAAAACCTTAGGAAGGCTTCAAAATTCACAGTGGAGCACGTATGTTGGATATTCCAACAGTTAGTCGCGAACCATTGCTACAGTGGAAGACCATTTTTGGCATTCTCGGCTTAATGTAGCCAACTATGCGCAAAAGAACAAGCTGATTGTTGACACGCGGTAATTGTCAGCTTTTTTGCCATTATGGCGCATGGGCCTCTATTGCTCATAAAAGGAGTTGCAGACTGCTGCGCATTGCCTGCAACTTGGATGTTCGTGATAATCGCCTGACTTTGACATTGAATATTTGGACACCAGCACCTTAAAATTCGACGCCCTACTCCGTCTCAGCGCTCTTGTTGCCATGGAAAAAACACTAGCAGCATGGCTACACACATCAACGTCCTATTCAACGACAACGGCTACTGTTGGCCGGTCACTGCCGGAGATATCGTCGGCATTCTGTTGAGAGAATATTTGGATCAACGGGCACGGACCACGTCGACTACTACGGTTGACCAATGAAGCCGTCATCAGCCGCCGATGGATAAGTCAATTTGCGCAACGACATATACAACAGTCAAAGCCGCCTGGTGTAAATGAGAGAACGAATCACTATTCCACCGTTATCTTGACCAACTTTTTTGAGTAATAATTTGACCAAACTACCTGCAAAGAAGGAACGATTTGCGGTATCCCCCAATCGCTCTTCGCAGCCGGATACACCTACTCACATGACAGAATTTCTTATCTGATGCTCGTAGATGATTCCTCTGAAAACCGCAATCATTGCAATGGCTTCTGGCACCGCTTTGGCGACATAGAAGGAACTCTGGTGCCTCCTCACCCACCAGAAACTCCTTCCATCCACCGTCTCTGTCAAAAGGATCTATTTACTTCTATCGAAAACCAGAACTTTTGTTGGCAGACATAAAGGGAGTCGAGTATAACCGATTACCACCATTAAAATCCTAGTTGAATGGGGAAGCTGAATCTTTTGTGAGCACTGCTAAGCGCTTACTTCAGAAAACGAACCGGACCGAGTGCGATGTTCTACGAATGTTCCTTTTTACATACCAAAATATTTCGTGTACTTCCTCGCTTGAAACTCCTTCACCAGCAGGGAGCTTCTTCAGATGACGCCTCGAAACTCTTGCTAGATAACGCCTCGAAACTCTTGCTATGGCCAAGGCCAGGTACACTAAACAGAGGTCCAAGGCCCAACATATGCATCGTAACCGTCAATCTGACGGAGGTGTTGGGGAGCCTATACCAGTTGTTAGTTCTATTGTTGGTGAGGTTGAAGGACAAAGTTTTTAGCAGTGTTCAATCGCTTTTCACTATGCTCCAATCACTGAGAGCTGTAGCAGAGCTGCAGTGGGGCTTAGGCTGTAGCAACCAGCCAGTACACATTTAACTGTTATCCGTAACTGTTATCCTCTATTCAAGCACCAACGGTAACAAACAAGGACTGGCGATCCCATCCAACTACCTGTTCCCTGTTGCTTGCCAACACGCAATGGGCCTGACACTTCCTTTTGTTTTTTGAAGTGGTGAAACGTTGATAATGACCATGCATCAATAAGAGTCTTATTCCCAACCCGTAGGAAATCGTTCTGATAGAAGCGTGTGACTGCGAAGATTGTCTGCGTTGATAACATGAACGTTAATCACTCATATTATCACGCTGTTTCTCAGAGACTTTAGAGCGACCATTCTCAAGAGCCAAGGTAGTTACAAGCTTGTGAATGACAGGCCGGCTAGTTTCCAACATTGTTGATCTTTTGTTACAAAAGCAAATCAACAGCAATTGCAATCAATAAATAGGCTCCCTACAGAACAAATGGCGAAAGGCGAGCGTGATTCACCCATCCCTCGCATTTTGCACTTTTGAAAGCTGATGACCTCTGATATAATAGGAGGAGACTCAAAGTAGAATGTACTCACTTTTTCAGGGAAATTTCATCCTTTAAGAAACAGTCGCTTAATCCTTTATGACTGCTAACTACCTGAAAGAGAAATAGAATATTACGTTCGAAAGCATTATAATAATTAAATGAGCAGAGTGGAAATGGAAAAGACCTTCTCGACGAAATTTTTACGGATTTCCATCTCATTTACAGGTTGCCTAGCATACCGCAACCATATTCGACGGCGCTCAGTAAAACTTATTGAATTCAGCAGCTTCAAATCCTAAAGGTTTAGGGTTAAAACTCGAAGACCAAATAGAATACGCGAAGAACCAACCACAATAGGTTCCACATGGTTCGGGCACATCCATGCTTCGGAAGGCGGTGAACAGAGAGGAAATTGCAGACAATCGACATGATAAACATATTTACAAAAATCACATTGAATTTTTGGCGATTCCTCGCCGATTCTGCAAATAAATTATATGATTTACATGCGGCGTGTAGGAAAAAAGAGAGTTTTGCTTTGTTCAGCTTTCTACTTATATTTTGATGCTCATACCCTTCGCAAATTACGCATGGTTCATCAATTATGATTTGACGAGGCTGTGCAAGTCCTTTATACGGCATAAGACCATATGGAGCCAGGCCATCGATACGAATAGAAGGTGGAACATCGAACTAAAATATGGAATTAAAAAGAGCAGTAGCTCACGACTGGACGGAAAACAGCAGTGAATGTGTATACTGTGAGTAATTCAACTCCGAAAGTATTAATCCTTCAATAAGTAATCTTCAAATAGTTCGTTACGAGTATAACAAAGGTACCAGGTCGGCCGGCTCACGCTGAGCTCCCACCTTTTATTACACTTGACTCATCATGTCCGATTTCTTTCAATCTTTCACCTGTAATGAGACACTCTCACGCCACTCATGAGATTCTACGTTTTCCTGCTCGAAGAGCAGCTCTCATAAAGAAGCATAGGATGTTAACGCATTCTGGCTTATCACACTCTGTATAGCTCTATATAAGCAAGCCAATGGCCACGGTTTTCGACCGGCTCACAATCATGCACGACCACACACTATTTGCCTTTCAAACACACATTTATGATATTGTTAAAGTTGTTATCTGGATTGCAAGGAACGCCTTGCCAGCTCAAGAAATACAATCACCATAACAAGGGGCTATAAAAAAAAATAAAGGGTAAAAATTAAGAGAACTCGTGAATACACTTCTTCTCTAGCGAAACACAACAAAAAAGGCTGACGAAAAAGCGGGACACCCGTTTATTAGGGCGCAACATAAGTAAATGTGTATCCGGACCACACTGCGAAAAGCCCTCATTTCGTTTCGAATCATCTTTATTGCGAATCATAATCTCTGCAATTAGTCACAGCTTTGCGCCACCAATCCACGACGAAATGAATACCTCATCCAGAATCCAGCAAGTTTCATACGAAAAATATTTTAAGTCTACTTGTGTCGTCGGTCGTCGTATTTTTCTTCCATGAAATGAGCTAGCGATCGGAACAGTGGTAGTCCGTCACAGCGAGATCCGGTGAATAGGCGAATACAACGAGCTGATACTGTAAAGCCGAGCTCCTCCAATGTATCCTGAGTCATCTTTGCTACATGCGAGCGCGCGGTATAATGAAAAAACATTCACCCTACTCTGGGCGATTTTTACGACATAAGTTACGAGTCTGTGCAAATGTGAACAGTACACCTCCGAGTCCAAAGCGGTGTTATTTGACAGCAATTCATGAAAAAAGGATTTCCCTGACGCTCCACCAAACTGATAGAAGAACCTTCTTCGAACGAAGATGTGGATTTTGAGTTGGCTGTAACTTCTGATCCGTATCAGTACGTGAAGCACCTACTTTTCATTCCCGATAATGACCTTATCGAAGCGATCAAAATGACGGCTTGGCAAAAGAATTCTTGCATACCCTCCCCCCACGTCTTCTCCTGGACTCCTCCGTCAGTTCATGCGGAACCCATCGACTTAGTTCGGTGACTTTTTCGAAACTGTGACCATTGGTAATTTTAAGTGCAACATCACTGCAGTCCATCTCCACTGCTAGCTTCTTGGCGCATGCCTGCAAATTTTCTTTGAAAAGTCGCTCCAGACGTTCAAAATTGATTTGAGCTGGACGTCCTCGACGTGAACCGTATTAGAGATCGTAGTCTCCTTCACTACCTTTTGGCAAAGACGGCAGACTCTCCCGCTTGTCACATCTCCTCCTTCCGCTAAGTATGTATATTACGGCAGGCCACGCTGGTTGAATGCCCCAGACGAAATTCCTAAAGGAGACATTACGAACATGGGTAGAGATGAAAGAGTTATCTCCGCTTTGAAATTCGTTCAGATGGTCACATGTTCAGGTATGGATTATTCTTGCCCCTACATATGGTCTTAAATATCCCGGTATCCCGTTCAAGACAACCTTTTCATTTAAAACATGCTTCACACAGGGTCATGTGTTGAATGATAAAAACGACCTGTATCTTGAATGATAAAAACGACCTGTATCGTTTTACAAAGTTCTCAAAAAAATCTGCAATTACTCATGTTGCGACCTAACAACTAGCATTTGAAAGCCGGAGAACCGCCTAACTGTTTCAAATGGAATCAAAAATCGAACAGAAGACGATGAGTGTTGATGCTGTCGCAAGAATACGCCAAAACAAGCAAAGCGAACTTTCACTATCTCATATGGAGCGCTAGGTTAAGATTTGTTGCGACGAATTCTTGAAAAGTTCAATTTGTTTATTAGCGTGACTGTAGCCCAACAAGAAAACCTTGGCGGAACACTTCTTATAAGAAGGCGGATAATACTAATCAATACGGAAACTAAATGAGATTATATTACCCCTCTGGAGAAACTCGTACCTGACGTGCATTGCAATTGGTCAGTGAAGACGAAAGAGCCACATAAAACTCCGTAATACTGGTTATTTTCCTTTTGGAGAAAATTCGCTCCAGTTCCTGCTGACGATATTCTTCTTCGGTTGTCATCTGCATGGGCGTAAAGGTTTTGAATATATTCCGTAGAATTACACTATGAACAAAAGTAAAAAATCTAATCTCAGAAGTCAAAGAGATGGGAGCTCTCAATATATTTACTTTCGCGAACAATTTTTTACTAAGCTCGTCAATGTATATAAACTTTGATCCAGGAACTGGGTTTTCAGCCACCACAGCGGGGTATAACTGAAAATGTAAGGCAGAAAATAATATTACGAGGCGAAAATTCTTACCGAAGCATGACTACGCTTTGCAGCAGCAGTAGCACCAGAGCGGCGACACCTGTTACAGAGCCATCTGCCGCGGGGTATTTTCTCTCTTCGAATAATCGGCTCGTGACAGAGTAAATGGAACGAAGCTGGACACACATCGCAACATAGTAATTCTCCACCTTCCTTAAACATACCAATAAATGCTTACTACAGAAAACTCAAGTGGTAATTAAAATACGATTCCGTCAATGTCATGCACTTGGTCAAGCACTTTGTGTCATTTCGGCTAAAACAGTTTTTTTATCAGATGATGCAGCTGCTACTTTCATCGCGATTGCCCCGAAGTGTAGCAAATTTATCGCGGAGTCTAATAAATTTCCCCGAGTGGCGAACGTATAGAAGTCTGTAGTATGCAGAGCGGCACAGCAGTTTCTGCAATAGAATTCTCTAGCAACCAAATATTCGGTCAGGCATGGAAGAAAGGGTCAGGCCACAAAATGCATGCAGATCCAGAACAGCAAAAATGACTTCAAAGCACGCAGTTTTACACTTTCAAAGAGAAGAACAATGTTCGGGCTAATAAAAGTGAGGTCTGTGAGAAATGGAGCTCTGCCCTCAGAAACAATGTGGTATAACCAACCCAATGACCTATCCCAACTCGTAAACGAATCGTAGCAAACGATCATTGAATTTGGTATAACCTGAAGCGGACCGTCGAGCCCCATTATGTGGAAACACTGAATTAGTAGACAATCACTCGGAATTGCTGAGTAGTTTGTCATGCGACCCCATTCTCCACGATGGATTTACCCATTCGTCATGGCCGCGTTCAAACTCCGCGCCTTTCAATAAAAACTGAATAACGGCTAGACTGCAGAGACTGCAGAGGACGTCCACACCGATGCCAGACATCAATCGGCATTTCACAGACGACCACGAATGCTGCATTGAATAGTTTTCTCAAAACTGGTGCACGCTTTGCTTTGCTTTTTGCGTACCTGCTTGAAACTTCAAAATTTATTGCTTAGTAGTTTGCATACTGGTTAAAATGCCTAATTCTTACATTTTAGTTCCCATGCCGTAATTCGCTCATCTTATAGGAATGGTATAGCCACTTGATTCCAATCATCCCTGCGATTCATGCTGAAATCTAAACCTTTTGCAGCGATTGAACTTCTTGTCTGTCTTTGCTTATCTTAATGTAGCAATTTATTGCAGCTCTTACAATGGCTGACTTGGGAGCTCGGTTGAGCGAGATATCGCTTTCATAGAATGTTTCTTGTTCTTTTCCTTTATCTTACCAAGGAAACAAAGTACAATGCATGATTTCGTATTATAGGAACCAGAACGCAACAAGAAACTCCTGTCTGAAAAGCATAGCTGCACTCAACGAAAGCTACAGAATATTGGATATGAAAAGGTATAAGGCGGTAAAGGCAAAGTCGGCTAAAAAACTGTTCAGTGCGACGTAGATCGTCGACCTATTAAAGGCACTGTTCACGAAAAAATGGTTTCGGAGATTTGCACATGGTTTGAATTCGACGCCCCCTCTGATACCATTTGCGCAGGAATGAGGTCGGAAAACGGCTGGATAGGGCACAATAATAGGCCGCAGAGTTATCCACGGTCGCCCTCCGCCCCTCGCTAGGCTGACTACGAAATTTAATTGCCGTTCACCACTTTCGCATTGGAGCGAAGTTGGTGAAAAGTCGATAAGCTGGTTGGGAAATTGCCAGAGACGCAATGTGCTGTCTGCTACTGCAGACAACACATTGCGCCGCCTTCGTGCACTCTCCCGGGGGACGGAACTTACGTGCGTCCGAGGATGCGCGCGGCAAACTGCGCGGCGAAGTGCGTGGGGATTCGAACGACTCTGGCGCCTATCATTGGGGCCCAAATTTGAAGTAGAGTAGATCGGTAGTATCAGCTGACCCTACTAAACTACTTTACTTCGAGTTTGGGCCCCAATGCTAGGCGCCAGAGTCGTTCGAATCACCACGCACTTCGCCGCGCAATTTGCCGCGCGCATCCTCGGACGCACNCGAGAGGATGTGTAGCAAATTTCATGACGAGACAGCTTGCACTTATCTCTTCTTCCCAGGGACTAGTACCTGTGCACTAGCCCGAGATGCAGAAAATTCAGTTGATACGAAAATCCTTTTAAAGTAGGAAGAGNTTTTTTTTTTGACCCTTTGTAATTCTTTTTGTTCATCGTTTTTTGCGCTTTTTTCGTTGTTATCGCTTTATTCTAGAGTACCAGTTCCCGTCAAAAAAGGGTACCCTAAATTTATTGCTAACGGTGCCTTTAAATATCAATCGGCAACCGACGTCGATGCCCATCTGCATTTAGCCTCTGCTGTTTACTTCTTGCTACGAATTTGGATTTCATGAAATTCTTCCTCGTTACTTTCTGATTCCCACTTTTTTTTTGAAATTCTGGGTGTATTTCTATCTTACCGAAATGTGCATAATTTCGGGAAGATCCCATCACTCTTAGAGGTATCGAGAAAAAGCAAGGCAAAGCATTCTTTTTGGCGTTCAACAAATTATTTAATGCAATTGCAATTATCGACATGTGAATGGCTGCTTTCAGACTTCAACGATTCAGCCTGCGTGCGTGCGTGCAGGTCGAATCGTGCCCGCGGGCGAGCAAGCGGCGCACGTGATCCATCGGTGTCCAATGTTGTCGACAACTGTCCAGCACCGCCGTCGCATCGCCGCTCGCTTGCGCGCACCCACGATTCTACCTGCGTGCAGGCACGCACACAGGAAGAATCGTCGAAGTCCGAAAGCAGCCACTGATGGCAGATTCACGGTACGCCAAACACTGCATCGTTTCGTCACCCACTGAATTTTTTCGACAAAAGGCGGCCACGACGAAAGTAGTGTTTATATGAAATATCGGTTGCAGAAACTGCAGAGCAACATCTGATAGCTGGCGGGAATCAATTGATTGCATCTGCAACAAATGTGCTTCATTCTAGTGGTGCGGTATGTCTTCCAGCCTCTACAAGATAATTGCACACGTAATGGCCCGCGGTGCCATGACCCCCTTTCACGACACTTTTCCACCCAACAACGCCCACGTGGCATTCTCAGAGGACATAATTCCGGCAAAAAGGAACCACCGAGACGATTTTCATCGCGTCTGCCCCAATGGAATACTTGGAACGAAGAATAGCCATCTACACAAGCAGCCATTGGAATTCGCATGAGGTCAAGGTTCTACATGAATTTAAGGGATGTAGAATGGAAAGAGTTGCTATGAAATTTGAACACCTGAGCTGCAAGGTTTCGACAACTATCATACATGCCACAAGAAGTGACTTCGAGTGAACGTACTGGAATTACTTCACAGGCTGATCATTCAATTCGCTCCCCACCCGTTATTCCACTTCCTTTCAAGGCTTTTGTAATGTTCTCCCAGATGCCTTCTCCGGAATTTCACGCATTCTACTATATCGACAAACCAAAAAAGGAGCATTATAAAAAAAAGCTCAGGCCGTTCAACTACATCAAAATAGAAAGGCTGCCATCCATTTAAAACCATTTCAATGCGGCACACAAATTGTAGTTGAAGCCCCTGAAGGTCTCAACTGAATCTTTCATGGATTATGCTTTCGGATCATGTCCAAATTTGCTTGACCTATACAATGTTCTGCAAGATTGGTCCAACAACTGCCAGTGTTTTTCAACCTCACCGATTTTGTGAGTTATACAATACTATAATGGGAGAAATGGTGACTAAGGAGATTTATCTGAAAGGTTTAATCGAGGTCGTATTAGTGCACCAACTCTATGGAAACTTTCCTAAGTAAGCGTCTAACAATAAATAGTAAGCAAAAATAGCACGAGACTTAGAATAATTGACAAGTAAAAGCTCGCGCGGCTTCACAATTACAGATGATGTCGAAAGCATAACTGACATTACATCATGATGGCAACGAAAGCATACATTTGATAGGGAAATAAATGTAAATGTAAGCTGAAGCTAACGAAAAGTTACTTACTCTACACACAACGCAGTAAGTGCGATTCACCGAATTCCAGTCCGCGGCAACACTCGCTGCCGAGGGCTTTTCATACCGCTTGATGGCTTTGGGCTTGCCCGGTGGGGACGTTACTTTGACAATCTCCTGAAGAGTACAATAGATGATGGCAGAAAGATGAAAATAAAAGAACAAGAAAGGATAGAGGAAGAGTGGGAGGAAAGACGAAAACAAAGTACTATGACGTAGTGCCTATCTACCTAGGTTAAATGGATTAGGAAATGGACAATGGACCGAAATGTAGTAAAGGATTCTCTTATTTTGAACGGGCTACCATCTTGGACAGGTGAGTACAGTTCACGTTTAGGAATCTTAGAAGTGTGAAGTCATAGGAAGGGAAAACGTGGAAAATGCTCAATATGTCAGAGCAGAGTGGAAAAGCTGATTTCTTAATTCGCCAAGTCGATACCCTATGCTAACTCACATGTCCATGTTCCTCACTTTCAAGACATTGGTTCCTACGAATGGTGAACTGTGTGGAAATTTAATCTCACTATAAGCTCATTCCGCATATACAAAATCCCTTAATTTGACAGATTGACACGAATTCAAAGCTGGTAACGAACTGAACGGTATACGGTTTCCAGGGACTAACCACTCTTGAATTGGGGGCAATACTTTGTATGAATCTTGAATAGACATTTAAATGAAGTAACTACAAAAATACCACCCATTTGAATTGAATGAAAACATGGCAACGAAAATGACAAGGAAGTAAGCTTAAATGTGATCCATTCTAACCTCTAAAAGACCATTTTCTTCGTCGTAATGATAAACATGACGTTTTCCTCTGCGTTTTCGTGGCATCCAGTTCGTCTAAGTAATAGCAAATACTTAATATATTTTGAAACTAACTCGGACTTAAAAGATTACGGCTGCAGCTAACAAGAACCGGCATCAAGTTATATAAAAAGCATACAGAGCTCCAGAGAACAGTCGGGCGACTGCATTGACTTCAAACTCTACATTTCAACAAGCAGCTTTGAGGGCCGAATATGAAACAGCTGGTCATTGGCAAGCAAATCACTCTAGGCGCGTCCATACATATTACCTGCGTTTTGAGGCACAATCTGGTTCAGAACGCAGAGATATGCGCTGCGGGGTGGGCGACTTTGCACGCACTTAACTAGTTCACTTTGCCACTATTCCTGATCACAAGCCAAATAACCTAAGCTCAAAGCGGCACTAATTTAGAGCGAAAACTTCATGGTCATTATTCTGCCTACTGATCGCTACTAACTGAGCTAAAGATTGTTAACCGATGAGAATAATGGCAGTAAGCGGAGCTTTCATAAAAAAATCAAGTTCATTTAAAGACGAGCAGTCCCAATATCAAACGATTATACTCCCTCTCAAAAGTTTGTTTGATATTATATATGTGGCAAAGAGGAAAAGAAAACACACTGTTTTTCCATTCTACAGAAAGTTCAACCAGAAATATATTGAATTTATTCATTCTGCACGAAAAAAAAAACTTTCGAAACCAGTGATCTTGAATTGTTTATGCGCTAATTGTAAAACCTAAGTTTCTAAAAAAAGCATCACCTCCTTGCTGTGAATATTCTCACCCATTAGGAACCCTCAATAACGATGATTGATCATGAAGTCACTACACTTATCGAAGCCGCTTCGCGCCTGGGTGCAAAGTGACCTTAATCAAGTGCGATCGTTCGAAAACTACACACCCTACGTTCCGAAGTAAATGTCTGCGTTACAACGTCTAGCAGTGATGTCTAGCAAGCCGTTGAATCATGCTGCATTTAACGCCTTTCTAAATGTTTAAAATTTAGAAAACACGCGCTTGAAGGCACTGCAATCACGGTAATTTTAGAGTATCTACCTCTTGACGATTGATACAGGTAATAGTTCAGAATACTGCAAAAAAGGCGAAGAAAACGCGAAAATTGGCGTAATTAAAGAAGTGTGAGGCTACAAAAGAGTTGTAAATTTGAGGGTTAGACGAGAGTGTGACGACAATGTTGCAAGAAAATGTATTTGTACGAGCTCTCCAAATGCGCGGGCCACTGTCTGCTTTCAGACTTCAACGATTCAACCGACGTGACGGACGGATGGACGTCGGCTGAATCGTTAAATTCTGAAAGCAGCCAATCGCACGCAAGCAAGCAAGCGGCTATGCGACGCGGCGCTAGAGAGATACTGACAACGTTGGACGCAGATGGATCACGTGCCAGTGCTGTCAACAGGTGGCTAGCGCCGCCGCCACATCGTCTAAGTCTGGAAGCAGCCAACAGCTGGTAAGCCGCCTGTGTGCAAAGTGTGGGTCCCGGAGCGATTAGTTCAATCTCTACAGCTTTTACAACGCATAGAACTCGCCCGCCTCGGGTGTGTACGGCGGCTAAGCCGGTTATAGAGGCCTTATTACGCCCCATCTTGACTGCTTTTCGAAGCGACAGTGTCCCAGCAAGGTTTGTGAATCAGTGAAGGATGTTCGATATAATTTGCGACAAAACTTAACCGACCATCAGTACTCTGGGATTCTCAACTGAAGATATCCTCGTGATGAAAAGGATCCATTGATAACGACATCTGATAATGGTGTTATCGTATCATCACTCGAAATATTTGTGAGTACCGCTCGAGGCTTTCGTTGCCTAACAAACGGAGCTTTGGGTATTTATGTTTAAGAAATAGTGCGAAAGATCAATATTTCCAATTAAAGGCGAAAGCCGACTTACACTGAATACCATTTGCACCACTCCGTTAGTCCTTGTCAAACTTCGTGCACAGAAAAATATTATTTGCTTCAAAGTAGAAGTGAAGAATTAGCCGATTACCAGAACTTTGTCGAAAAAGGAGGGAACCCCGGCATTAGCCGGGCGAACCGACTGCTATAGATATAATTAGCCTCACTTTCATGACAAATACGAGTCACAGTAACTCTTTCTTTCATCGAGTGCTATTTGAATTAAGCTCTCCTCATGAGCTACCCCGACCGAGAGAAACTTTGGAGTTTCAAATAACACTAAGTGACTCATAGTGACTAAACATAACTAGATGCTGAGTGCTACAACCTGTAATATTCAATTGACGCAAACGACATTGTTCTTTGTATTGCTGCGCTCCAATAAAGGGGAAAAATCTCCGAGGCACTTGGCGCGGTAGTGATCACAAAAACCCTACGTGTCAGCTGTGTCAATAGTTTGTAAAACAGCCTGAACTACCACCTACGAATGTGCGATGAGCGAAGGTTAAATGGCTTCCGAAACAAATAAATCACTCACGAACAATGAAAAGTATTTATAAATAAACAAATAAGTTAATAAATAAGTAAATAAACAATTGGACGAAAAAATAAATTCAAACATGATAACGGCAGTTCAATGAAAGCCGCATATGTAGTGTACTTCACACGCAACGGCCAATAAGTACATTTGGAGAGCAATTGAAACCAATAGTTAAGTTAAATGATATACAACTAAATAGGAATGAGATAGGTGACAGGACGAGTTGCTACCATAGCAACAGGCCAATTGAAACCATGGGGACAATTGAAATTGCTGAGAAAAATAATATGGAGTTGCAACAAGACCTAATTTTTCAATTGCAGTTGAAAAACAGTGGAAGAAAAGGTCACTGCGTTATCGTATTGTTCGATTCAGTACCCGCACACCAACACTTCACTGTATGTTGTTTGATAATGAGTACTTCGTTGCCACTAGAGTGATGATGACGATGACAACGATGAGCAACAGAGAAAGAGGATCCATGGATAACCTGACACGCTCATTTCCATTTCAGGTCTCTGAGGACCGAATAAAAACTTTTGACAACAAAGAGCAGGGAGGAACCTAGTGCGTGAATCGATAGTTTGACCATAAAGAAGTAAGCGGCGCCCTGGCCATCCATCAACTTCCGCGAACCTTCATTTCAAAGAAAGGCTCTGGTCTTCAAATTTCAGTCATATATTCGTCTACCGAGGTAGTTTCGATGTCCCAGGTAGACCAGTCATTAACGTTTTTCGCCAAAGTCGCCCTCACGTCCCACTGTTCTTGTCCCTTCCCTTCGATGCTTACGCCTCCACGAACGGAATAATACAAACCTCTCTTTAGTAACGCACATTCACTTGAGGAGACATTGAATTATCTTCAATAGTAAGGTTTGAACAGATTCAGAGAAAGCGAGGGTTCACCAAACTGGCAGCAAATTTCGTCACGGCCAAAAATAAATGTCATGTTCTTCACTGACCACCGATTAAGCCTGGGAGCAAGATTTCAGCGAAAACTTGCTGTAGAAAAATGGGTTGCAACACCAGATAAAGCCAGTAAACCCTTTTTAAATAGAAAGGACAGGGCAAGCAGGAAAATGAAGATTATTCGTCTACTGAAAGCACAGAGACAATACGAGAGGATGTGTAGCAAATTTCATGACGAGACAGCTTACACTCATCTCTTCTTCCCAGGGGCTAGTACCTATGCACTAGCCCGAGATGCAGAAGATTCAGTTGATACGAAAATCCTTTTAAAGTAGGAAGAGCAGGTGCAAAGATTTTCCCGGTGAGCGTCTCATTTACTTGAATGAAGATTCAGTACGGAGATCCGGGTCGTATCGTGGGATAAAATGCAACGGAGAGACAATAAGGAGAACAGATTCCATGTTCCATTTCCCAGCACGACCACCTTCACATACTTAAGCATCGGAGAAGAACCTCGGGAAACCAGGGTAGATATCTAGCTGTGCCGCATCACGAACAAATTCAAATGGGGTCAAAATACAAAACATACACAGCACAATACTTGATCAGCATGGACATTTCCCTAGAAACCATTGGGTATATTTCCTTCAAAATCGNCATGGATTCTGGGCTATTCCATAACCTAGGCCAGCCTCGTCAAACCATTGAATTCCAGTAAGACCCTGGAACAATGAGCGCAGAACGTGCCATTTGCATAAATACGTTGGTAATTATAGCCATGATCATGATGACCCGAAGTAATCCTCTGGATATACCGACGTAATGACCAATTCACCTGGCAAGAACAAGATGCCAGAGATACAAGTTTGTAGTGGTACGGAATGGCATTCTGAAAGAAACCTTCGTCTGTTCAAAAAACTGGACTGGCAGAAGGCCACTGACTCAACCGGCGTCCTTGCCCGACTTGCATTTCGAATAATTGCACGATCGAAAGCGTACTTATCCTACACAGTGGGATGAGAATCAATGCATGAGTAAGAGTTTTTATTCCGTATAACGACTCAAGCACGAATTACTTAACCTCGTTTAAGTGCAGACCTGATTGTGAGGAGTTAGGTTAGCGGAACGATTCAGCCAGTTGACGCATACCTACTACACCAGTACCTTCCCCAGGTTGCAATAAAAACATTTTACTATTACACAAATAGGTTTCACACCCCATCTTCCCACACCTTTTCACACCCTGGACGGTCATTATGCAAATCAATCATTTCACTCCTAATAACCTGTCTGATTGATACTCAGTCGTGAACAAGCAAGAAGATTTGGCAGCCTCCGAGCGTGCAGTGAGACAAGAAAGATTTCCAGACCGTGCGATTTTGTATTACAGTAATCACATACGGTAATTTAAATAAACAAGCGACGACCAAAAAAAAACCACGATGTATAAATGGCATAGATAAAAAGCAGGTAACCAACTCAGACCTGCTGGTCTGGTCGGAACAGTGTGTCCCGCTGGTCAGATGACTGCGATCAGATGTTTTTGGGAGAACTTTGGGCGAGGTTGATATAAATCTCAACAATAGGAGTTCTTTGATGAGCCGTCGGAACTGAATTGGCACGTAGCGCAGCAAGAGGACGTTTTTAAGAGAACATAGCCCTGAATATTGGATCCACCAAACGATCTCTCGGTCTGTGGAGCCTTCTACTACACTTAATTACAGAATTACAGCTGTCGACGTCAAATCGTAGATGAATAGTTCAAGGTTGCAGGAAAACCACAGTAGAACGAATATAATGAATGCCCAGCAATAAACCGCTCGTACAAAACATTGTAGAACGAATATAATGAATGCCCAGCAATAAACCGCTCGTACAAAACATTGGATAAGCATGGAACAGCTCAAAAAAACGAGGGCTTTTATGAAGTACACCAACATGGCAATACATGATCAAAGGGAATAGAAACGGAGGAAAATTGCTTGTAAGGCAAGACACCGGTGTCGTTGTAAAAGATCTATTTGTGAGCAAAGGATACCAAAAAACAAGGAATTGAAGAGAAACTCCAAGGAAAATCATTACAAGCCAACAGAGGATTCTGAAGAGATGAAGGAATAGAAGAGGAAGATCAACCTAAGAGAAGGTCAGCATTTCAATTGAGTAACCGTCCACGAATCAATCACGAAGACTGGCTAGCGCTAGCGACGGCGTCGCGCATTCAGCTGGTCCTGACGACGCCCTCCGTCCCTGGCTGGTCGCTTCAGTCTGCGTCTCTAACCTTGACGCCCTGTTCCAGATCGCCGCCTCTCGTCGTCTTACCCTCGCCATTGCCACGCCTACAGCGCGCTCTCGATTAGAGCTGACGAGACAGGGGGCTGGCTACAGTTAAGGTAGGCTTAACTGTAAACGCGAAAGGTCGGAGATAATCTTTTGAGTACGATGCTCCTTGGGAACTATTTCAATTGGCTGGGAGTTGTTTTTTGCACATGGGAATCTGTGGTAGCCCTCAAGGACAAACTTAAGTGCGTTGTTGAGGGGAAAGGGAGCAAACGGTAAACCATTACCTCAAATGCTGTACTTGTTGATAAGAGAGACACCATCTTGGGGTACGGAACATTCACCCAGAACTGGATGGACGCGGCAAATGGCGCAGCGAGATTCCTGACATTTAGGACGGCTTTAGTACCTATCACTTGGGCGCATACCTGAGGCAGAGTATATCAGCATGGTCAGATGATCGTACTCATCGACTCTACTTCAGATTTGGCCCGTAATGATAGGCGCTAAAGTTGTTTAAACCGCCACGAGTTTTGTCGCGCGATCGTCCATCCAGTTCTGGGTGAACGAACTCATACCCACACCATCCTCGTAGATTGGACCATGGAATCTGTTGTTTTTATAGCGTTGTGTTGGGTTGTCCAAAACGTTCCCACCGTTTTTGAGCCTCCTGGGGTTTATCAACTGTTGTACAGAAGATCAAGGGCCTAACATTATAAAGTAATGTATTCTGGAAGGGTAAGTCCTCTTCTATATCCATGCTTGAATTTTGTTAGCATCCCTCAAAGTCTGTCTGAATAGAACCCGTGTGAAAATTGAGGACCATCGCGCGCATTTTCGGCACCTGATGCTTTTCTGCTACCGCCAAGGGTAAAAACGCGGTCGAAGCCGCGAGAAAGGTTCGCGACATTTGAGTAGACAATGCTTCAGTGCATGAGTGGTTTGTGGTTTGAACAGGGAGAACACACCCTCGAGGATAAGCAAAACTCAGGGAGGCTATCATCTGATGAAAACGGTCAAATCAAAATATTAATGGAAAAGAATCGGCACATCACCACTCATGAAATATGAGAAAGGCTTAGTCTTTCGAAAACAAGCCCATGACCATTTGGTGGAACTTGGTTTTGTTAAGCGTTTTGATGTTTGGTTACCTCACGAACTGAGCAAGCGCAATGTGATTGACTGCGCGTCCGTGTGCGATTCGTTGCTCACATAAAACAAAACTGACTGAGCTGTTCCTGAAACGCATGAAAACGGGGAGCGGAAATGATCGTGAAGCCTTCCCAATGAGCCGTTACAAACCACTCCTAAAGACAAAATCCGGATGGGAATGAAAGGGAATCATTTGTTGTGAGCTGTTGCCGCACAACCAAAGGATAACTTCGAAAAGGTGTTGTACTTAGCTAGGCAGTTTGAAGGCAGCGATGGACCAGAACCGAACTGGCCAATCGTAGGGGCGTTGTGTTCCAACTGAACAACTCCAGACGTTTTTTTCAGCGTTTTTGGCCACTCGTCAAAAATTTCTGGAACTTGGGTGGGATATCTTACCAAACCCCCATATAGTCCGGACGTAGCACCACACACTACCGCTCGTTTAGGTCTCTGCAGAGTTCTTCAAATGGAAAACTGTTCAATCCGATGAAGGAGTGCAAGAAGCTCGATTCTAGTTTTGAACCCTCGATGATAGTGGGGTATTGAAATATACAGGAAGATGGTGGTCCATTACTGAACAGAATGGAGGTATATTGTTTGATGAATAGATTTGTCCTTCTAGAAATTCTCATTCAACGATGACTCAAAAATTTGCGGAAACTTTCGGACAGCACAGTGGTTAGGCTCAAACAGAAATGGAGTGAAAATGAGCGTGGCTCATGACCCGCTTGAAGCACAGGAGTTATGCTTGGACGTATATTCCAACAAGGCATTGATATGCACACGTGCGAGTTAGCTCCGGTATCAGGTGTATTCCCTGTGCATTCCTGAACTAGACCCAATGACAGCCTAATTAAGGCGGGAGAGCCCGTATGAGCTGGGAGGTCCTATCTCCTTATAATAACCATATGTATAGATCCGATGTGAAAACGAGTTGTGAGCAGGTGGTGGAGTGGTGGAGGCAATAGTGCAAGCACAAATGACACCTTTTTTGGAAAGTGAGCCTTCGTTCCAGTCAATGGCAAGTCGCGAAGGCTCAAAGGGCCCTCCCTGCACTTATTGTGTTCATCGCCGGTATTGGAACGACACGCCGCTTTTGTTGAGGAGCTGATTAATGCTAGGGTGGCTGTAGGAAGGAGAAAGGGGTGGGTGGAAGGGGTAGTGAGGGTGGTGGTGATGCAGCCCCGATGGGTGTGGAAGGGTGGGCTTACTACCAAGTAAAATTAAAGCTGGTCCAGTGGAGTATTTTAGGCTTCGATTGATGAAAGCGGAGCTCCTCGCGAATTCATCCCACCCTGCCCAACGGGGTTGGATGTTAACAATTCATCGCAGATGTCGTCGTCGACGACATGAAGTGCCTTCGAATATATTGGCCAGCAACCAAAAGAAAAGTAAAAATATCCGAAGTAGGAAATGAAACATCTCGAAAACGACGAAAATCGACCGCCAACGAATTCGCCAGCGCAAGCATTCATGATGAGCCGCAGCTCACGACAGTGCTCCAACGATTAGCTAGTCTCACTTGTTATTTCACGGTTTCTATTTCCTTCCTCTACAGGTACCATCTGTCGGCATTCCAGTGCTGGGAAGCATAAACGTTTCAGTTTCGTTTCAGTTTCCGCCATTCTTTCGTCTTTTTTCTTTGGTATTCTGTCTACTATTGCTTTCCATTTCAGCTTATCACGTTTTACTCACGGCCTAGATCGTCTTCCAGAGTTGCGGTCAAATTTTTACCTCATTTGCTCTCGGCAGGCTTCCACGAATCGATTATGGCTGGAGAATGTCGCCACGTATGTACGAGGATGACCAATGAAGTTCAAGTGTTAATGGCAGCGGATTGCAAATCTTTGTGAGGTAATCCTATGCCATCTGCGAGGAAAACAAGGGCATACAGAGATTGCGTTGATTCGAAGTGTACAGTACCAGCCGTAAGGAAGGAACCTCACATTCACGCGCAAAGCGTGAAGTCGCGTTCTGTTCGTTCTTTTCTCTTTCTTCTTCTAAATCTAACCTTTTTTGAAGTTGTACGAGCGACCGAATAAGCTCATCAAGTCCAACTTCTACAGGATGATACCTTGGAAATCCAAAAGGGCCTCTGGAATGTTCAATTTCAGAGCATACTTCTACTCTGCGTTGTAGCGCCCTATCACATACGTACCGTTCGATGCTGTAATCCCGGTTCCGTCCAGCCAACCAAGCCTTCCATCGCCCTGGTTTGGTTAATTGGTACCGGGCTGGTCTGGAAGACGAAGGCATTGACCTGTAGATCGGATGGAAGCCGAATGCAAGGGCGCCAAGATTCGATTAACGCCAACAGTCTCCAACCTTAGTATATGCCCTTTCCTAAACGGTATTTCCTTCAAGGTTCGGAACACAGCGATAAAATCGATAGACAGTGAAGAACTCGGACCACAGTAAGGGCTCTGCAGTAATTTGTGAATGGGTCAATTGATATAATACTTACAAGGGAAGGATATCTGGTCGCAGTGGCCACTCAAGATGAGATGTATACCGCCGCAGGTGGCTCCAAACGCTGATCTCAAATCTGTGTTCCAATGTTCTGCTGAACGATTCTGGGAACAAAGTTACGGGACCAGTCCTTCCCTGTGTTATACCATTGCAATGAACGGATCACCGAGCCAAGCAAAGCCCTCACCTGTGTGACGGTGGGGCTAGTATGGTAGACTGGCAGGCAAGGCATCAGGGATCGCTACCTTGATGCATGCGTTCGTTTTGCTTTTCCATAAAATGCGTACTAAACTCTTGCGAAACGTTTTTGGGCACATTAGTGCCCATCTAAGGAACAAACTCACATATTAGGATTCCAGGGAATAGTAAACTAGTAAATTTTTTACCTAAATTAACCGAATATATACGCCATCGAGTAGTACGGTTCAGAAGCCCTTTACTACCGCCACTTCCTAGAGGACGCTGCAAGAACGAAAGTCCCCCTTCGAATGCGATGGCACCACCTTCGCTGTTATAACACAGGGATGAACTGGTCCCGTAACTTTGCTCCCAGAATCATTTATCAGATTTGGAACACAGATTTGAGATCAGCGTTTGGAAAATTTACGGTGGTATGCATCTCATCTTGAATGGCCACTGCGACCAAGTATCCTTCCCTTGTTAGCGTTTCCTCAAATGCGAGGCCCTCAATACCAGTGCTCGGCGTTTCCTTGTGAAGTGATTGCATTTCCTTTTCTTAAATTACTGGATCATCCAGCTGCAATACATCCAGCTGGATGGCTTAAAACAAACACTATCCAACCTTCAATGGCCCGTCGTAAAAGTGGTGAATCGCTGCGATCACGTGAATCGTTCATTGCCGTCTGCGATATGACGATGGGGAGCATAAAGTTGGAAATAGAAACAAAATCAAACTCATTAAGGGATCCATGTCCCATGATACCCTCCCGATGGAGAGCAAAAGCGAAATAAAGCTAAGCAGAACGACATATTCGTATTTAGATTCCTGTAGAGCTCGATGAACTGTGTTCAGAGGTCATCACTAGACGTCCAGCCTTCTCAAAATTCTCTTTGTATCGGTGGTAACAAGAAAAAATGTGACTTCGCATTTTAAGCCTCATTTTGAGACTCACGGCGGGTACTGTAATCTATGAACATTTCAATGAAAATTCATCCACGATCACTGCCAATTGCAAGTTCCTAGTAATACTTATCTGAAACGCTCCAACACTACTGGAAACGCTCGATCCATCACCCTTCTTTTTTTGATTTTGTATCTTCCTTTATACAGGGTAAGGGTTTACTGAGCAAAGAGTCTCCACGCATACTCGCTATCAAAATCCATTCCCTCCCTCTTCCCCCCTCCGCCCTATGGAATAGAACTAAAAAGCACTGAGCACTAAATATCTGAGAAACCGGCTAAGGCATGCTGAGTGAGAGCAGCTCGTGACGCAAATTGTTGGTGCTTGTACTTCCAATTTCTCTTATAATATCTGTGAATGTTCCAGTTTCTCTTATAACATGTATGTTCCAAACTTTCTTATAATTCTGTGAATAAAATAAAATCTGCAGAGAGGGTGGAGCAGAGATGGTAACCTCAAGTAGCCCGTTATTGCAATAACACTCGAAAAAATGTTGCCTACGACCCCTTCGAATTTTGACGCTCTGGTCCTTCCTCCCCTCTCCAGGGCGAAGACGCGTCCTGCCACCTACCATAAGTGTTCTCCTCCTTTACCCTATATTCCTACCAAATTTGAGCGCTCTATGCACAAATTAACATTTTTGTGCATGATTCACCTCCTGTGGGCGGAGTTCGATCCTGCCTCCCACCCTAAGTGTGCCCAACCTGTCTTCTCTACTCCTACCAAATGGAACGCTCTTAGTCCGTTAGGACAGAAGTGATTGAATTCCTGTCGGACAAGCACACACATACTCGCAGACACACCAAAGACCCTTGTAGTGGATTATATAAGTAGGATTGTGTTCCAAAATTCTGTCAAAATTGGTATCAAATGCTTGCAATGTCTGGGCTACTGCATGAGAAAGCCGGTAAGCCGAAAAGCCGGTAACCGGTTTTTATTACCGAACCATGGGTAAAAGTTAAATAAACTCAATCAGGCCGTTAGTGAATTGTCAGTGATTGGAACTTTTTATAGTACGAAGAAACTGTTACAGCGTCTAGAGACCTCCTCCTTGTGTTCGGGTGTTCATAAATTTGAGTTTCCTGGTCTTGCTCCTCATTTAGACAAATATTTTTCGAACTTCGTTCTTGTGGAACTAAAAAGCGTCTGAGCAATGTCATGGCCATGGTTCTTTCGTTGCCAAAACTCTGGATGGGCTCTTCACGCGGTATCTTCAGAATGCAAAGTGTCCACGTCGTGAAAAAGTAGCGTGACTGTGTTGCCGTATTTAAATGGAGATCCCGACGATATTGACAATTGTCGCCCAGTCTGCCTACTGCCTGTAATCTACAAGCTTTTCAATGCGTCATCCTTAACAGGATTGGCAGAATATAAGATAGAGGACAGCCGTGCGAACAAGCAGTGTTTCTGAGGGTGCTCAGTACAATCGATCATATTCACACTCTTACAAGACTCATTCAAGTTTCGCGAGAGTACAGGATGCCGTTATATTTGTCTCAATTTGGGGACGGCCTAGAATCTCAGGAAAACACTTTTAAAGGCACTGTTCACGAAAAAGTGCTTTCGGAGATTTGCACATGGTTTGAATTCGAAGCCCCCACTGGTACCATTTGTGCAGGAATGAGGTCGGAAAACGGCTGGATAGGGCACAATAAGGGGCCGGAGAGTTACCCACGGTCGCCCTCCGCCCCTCGATCGGTGTCACGTTAGACGAGTGTCGAGACAATACAGATTGCTATTATTCGTTCTAGGACCCACGCACAAACAGCTAATCGCCGTGTGATGAGACGACGTTTTTCTCCCATACTTCTTTCCTCTGTTTTTTTTTTTTGCTGCCGCGATCCATTATTTAGTTTCCTACTCCTAGAGGCTGAAAAGGTGAGCCACTTTTGCTATTACTAGGGGTTTTTTTNATAAGTGAATGAATTTTTGCTTACCATTGTCTGTTCTTCGCACCAGGATCCACATGCGCGCAGTGAAACACACTATTTAGCTCGTCCGGACGCCCCACCCTTCTTCGTTTTTCTGTTTTCATTCACGTCCAGCCCCCTTTTTAACGTTTTTTCGAGGCCTTTTTTCACTATGGAAACATCGATGCACGCAGTTTCTTCACCTCAGTCGCACTAGTTTCGATCTTGTCTTTCGTTTTTCATCATAATCTGGTTTACCCAAAACTATGTGAACGGTGCCTTTAAACTCGCCAGCTGCTATCAAAACTATCTAAGCGTTAAAGACTAATTAGTTACCTTAGTGATTTTTCACTTGTGTGGGTTTTTAATTATACACATTAATGATTGATGGTTCGTTTCTATAGGGACGGTTGAAGATGCTGCCAACATCTCTTTTGATTGTTTCAAAGGATTATTCATCGCGTTGCTTTAACACGTTGTGGAAACTGACGTAGAGTCCGTGCAGTGAGGAGGCGTCTTTCTGTAACTGTCTAGGGTGGATAGTTGCGTAAGGAAGGGACCCGCCTACATGAAAAAAATTTGGTCAATACTGGGAGTTCTTAAGAATTAAAAACGACTAAAACATTTATATCACCCCTATAGGCCTTTCCCAAACTTTGCTTGGTGGCGTTGGCAAAATCTTCTTGGACGGAAGTACCAAAGCAAAACACATAAAGAGACGATTTCAAAAAGCGTTTGCACTTTTTGCTTCTTTCCAGTAATTCTCAAGCCCTACTCCCATTTCACCCATTCTATGCATCGAGTCTGTGTAATGAGTTCCCTGATTCATTAGGCACCAATGTTATGTTTTTAGGCAGTTCAATACTTTCAAATTTGTACGCCCAACTTTTACTTTTTTTGGAAAATTAAACAATGAAACCTTTAGAAAATTTTACTTGTAGCAGCCCTAATCATCAAGATCTTATTCTAAGGAGGTAAGTACCCAGTCGATAGAAGCGGCCTTATGCAGCCCTATTACCTCAAAAGTTTCTCGGTTACTGGACTCTATAACTTTTGAAAAGAATCTCGGGAAGCCCCTCTTGATCAACTCTTGGCAGCAGCAAGATGACATCGTGATCGACCCTGCAGTCTCAATGATTCATGGGAACGGGACTGCTCGATGTATTACGTGAGAGATACATGGGAACGAGAATGCTCGATATAATATGGGTTGGATGGGACTAATCAATTAAATCAGCACGCTTACTCCTCCAGTGCAGCAGCAGCAGCAGCTACTTCTCTAGCCTGTGACCGATCATCTTTTATTATGACCCTGAATTGGTTGTAGGATCCAACTTGCCAGAAACCCTGACTGCCAGAAATCTTATTTTTACGTCTGTAAGGAACCAGCTAATCGATCTGAAGAAATGAAAAGTTTGCTTGGTTTAGCAGGGCGTCGATACGCAGTTCTATCGGTGTGCGGTAACGCGCCACTTGGCATGCCCCTACCTCTTTACGAGAATGACGCAAAGATTTCTAGAATCATAGAAAGCAGTGAGGATAGTGCTGCTTTTCAAGCTTCACTCGTCTGCATTTGAGGAAAGTTTGAGGTCGAAGCTATCCCTTCACGACGAAAAAACTGTTTTCTCAGATAGATGCATCGAAATTAACTCAGTTTTCAACAATATTAATAGAGAAGAATAACTGGAGTTGTTAGAATTCTTCAACCGTTCGAGGTTTCCAGGTGGGACACTTTATTGAATTAACGGCGTAACGTTTCGACGCAATCGTCGTCTTCAGAGGCCTAAACGAATTCGAGATGTTTTACAATATCCGATACGTTTGACTCTCTAGCAAAAAACGACCAAAACTCATCGGAGAACTACACTCTTCATGAAATACTCACCAGACCCCACCACCGGAGCGGATAGGATCCGCTGTCGCCAGGCTACTATCAGTAGCGAATGAGACTTACTGATGTATCTCTTATACTGATAAGGGAGATCGAATTACGATACTACTGACCACGAATCATAGCTCGCAGAGCGGTAAGTATGGCAAGGGGCCACTGGTCATGATGGACACTCATCTCTGTGGTTCATCTTGGGATTCCTTTGCACAACCCAGAACGCCTCTGTCTTTCTCGCTGAAATTACCGTCTACTGCGCTAATACCGTGCACTTCACTTCGAAACTGTTGTGTTCCTCAACTTTACGCCGACCGAGCGCAGTCAATAGGTTTCCGCGCATCACACTAGGTAGATGTTCTTAATCCGTATAGCTAGCTGCCCTGTCTTGCCGATATAGGTTTATCCGCATGACCGACACCCTAGCTGGCAGACCGCGCCCATAAGTCCGCAACCAATAGCGACACACGGTACAGCCGTTTGTTAAGCACTGCTTATCGTAGAGTCGGTTCCGAACCAACTGGTGCTTGAAGTGTTGAGTATGTTCACCAATTTGACAACATCATGCAGGTCAGCTCTGAAAATGCTCTGTCGTATTGCAGTGCTGACCTTATCGAAGATTAAAGGAAGACAAAGAGGTAATTTTGCAATGAAGACGAACGATGAACGAAGACCCTTGCGCATTGATGCGCCGCCTTCCACGGCTCTGCGGTATCGTATAGCCATTGGCAGCAGCTATCAAGTGATTTCTGGTTGCGTTTGAGGCCTATGCAATGACTTGCGGTGGTCAGCCTATGTAGAAGTCAGCGTTTTAATCTCTCAGACTAGTTTAGTACCTAAAAGTTGACCTTAGAGTATAAAATGCTCGGTTTTCCGGGGCGAGTAAAGCTCGGGATTTGATCTTCGGACAATGCGTGTGTGATATTGCTTAACTTGCCATCACACCACCT